CTACGCGATATATTTTTTTATATTACACAACTTGTAGCTGTTTGTTTGTTGATTACAAACTCAGATGCATTGCTCTTTCTCTCTCTTCAATTCTCTCATTTTCTCTATTTCTCTGTTTTGACTTCTCAGCCTGCTTTTCACATTTAACGTTAAACGTTTTATCACGTCTTGCGCCTCTGTTTTCGATTTTTTTTCTCATATTTTCTTTGATATGTGATTCTATTTTTAGACTCTCCTCCTTCGCTTCTCGCTCTCTCGGACTCTCTGTTTACTTTATAAATATTTAAATTGTTGTCACGTACTAAGTTCTTAATAGGTTACGTTATGTGTTTATTTAACTCATTTTGATTAGAAGTCGAGAAAAATACAGCAGAGCCACACGCGCACTACATACTCGATTCCCGTTACAAAGTTCAACTTTAATTCTTGTTTTGTTAATTTTATTTGTTAAAGCCATTCAATTTTTGGTTAGCAGGGAGGCCAAAAACTAAAAAAACCAACAACAAAAAGGAAAAAATACCCCACGCAGATGTTCGAGTCTTTTAAATTAATTGTTTACTCAAGTGTAATTAGGTAACAGAAATTATAAATAAACAAATATCAACACAAGCGCACACATCCACCCACAAGGAAAGGTATATACGTCTTCACAATTAAATTATTTTTTAGTGACTTTATTAAATTCGGCATAAACTATATGTATTCCATTTTTGTATATCTCACCAGCTGCGCAAAAGTGCGAGGTAAAAGTACAAACTGTGGATTGGAATTTCAGAAAGTTAGTTAAGAATGAAAACTTGACTCCTATTAAATTAAAAGTTGATCAAGTGACTTGCATTACCGTCATTGTTTGAAGCTTCAATAATTAGAGCTAATTAAATATGTGGATAAATAAAATAAATATGAATATTCTTAGGGATATCAAGAATAGGAATATTAAAGAATAAATCATTCTTTTTTTTTACAAATGTAGTTTGTTTTTAAGATTAATTGCCCACTAAAGGATTTCAACATTTCTGCGATTTGAGTGACATTTTGTCTTTCTCTCGAATTTACAAGGCTTAAGTAATCGGTGCACAATGTATTCATGCAAAAAGTTTAAATTCTCTCCTTTAAGAAAAAAATAACAAATGGTGTTCGTTATTTATTGGTTTATGGTCTACTGAAAATTTTGAATTTTCATTGCTAACGTCCTTAACGCACAAGTTTGACTACGGAGACTTTGAGATTTTGATCGTAAATGGTCCGTTAAATTGGTCTAGTCCAAAGTGTTGGCCCGTGCCCTCTTGAAAGTGGATGGAGTACTGGATGGAGTTTTCCTGCCACGCGATCAGTGCGAAGGCCTGGGAGTGTTCATCTTAACCGGCTTCTTCAAATCCCCGGCGATCCTTTTGATGGCCGGCGGTATGCGCTTGGCCACACCCGGCTGCGAACTGAGGAAGGAGATCTCGAAGAGCGAGGGTCGGCTGGAGTAGACGTTGTGCAGCATGCTGATGAACCAGAAGAGCAGGTCGTCCATGTTCTGGAGCGTGCACTGAGCGAAAACGGCGCCCGCATCCCGCCCGTGTTGGTGCGAGTCGAAGAGGGCGACGATCGAGGCCCGGAAATCGAAGGTAACCATCACCGTTCGACTGTCTGCGATGATGGCGGCGAAGAGGTGCGAGGCCATGTTGTCCCGCCCATTGGCCTGCTGGAACACCTGCAACGTGATCTGGAAAATCCGCGACAGCTGCACGGCCACATTCCGGTTGTACATCGGATGGCTGGGATCGGCTTCCATGTGCGTGTAGAACCACTCCTCCAGGCGGAAGTTCATCTTGTGCTGCGACCGAATGGCCGCAATGGCGTCCGGAATGTTTAGGTTGAGATTCCTGGCCTGCGGTGTGTTGGTCGTGATCACATTGTGGTACACATTGTTCCCGTCGTTCATGGCATTGCCGAAGAGCTCCCATCCCCGCATCGGCAGATCGGATACCCTGTGATAGAACCTCTCCGCCTTGGCCACTTTGTCGGCCAGGATCAGGGATATGAGGGTACAGGAGTTGGTGCCGCTCTGCTGGAATTCGCCAAAGCGCGACTGGCAGAAGTCGCGGGGGAACCACCAGATGTTGAGGTTGTCGATCTGCTCGTGAATGGCCATGGCTCGGGGTTCGTTTTTACCCGGGAATCTGCTGCTGCTGCTCCTCGGAACTTGTGCCCGGCGGCGTCGTAATCTCAGGATGCGACTCCGGCTCCCGTTGCTCCGGAGGCCCAATGGTAAACCCGGGCCTGGCGCTGTCCACAAAGTGCCGCTGTCACATAGTTCACGAGAGCGACGACCCCTCGGCTTCAAGGCGAACGTATGGATTTGGAGTTGGATCTGGGGAACCCCCTCCCCCTGTCAACAGCTCTGGCCCCTCGGACTCGGAATCGAACTCAGGTTTTCGGCGTGTCAGCGACAACGACGGCGACTCCTCTCCAGTACGCTTTAAGGACGGGCTTTTGATTTCAAGCAAACATTGAATTTTGAGTGTCTTTTGCCGGAGGAGTATTAGACGGAAAAAGGTGAAAACTTTCGAATTGAAAAAACAAAAAATTTCTAGACCAACCACTGACAAATAACGAACATGATGTGGGATTTGAGATCGAACAGGATCTGATCTTTTAGAAGTGTACCCATCTGACACAATTCGAAAAGTGGCAGCTTAATCCATATGCTAAAAGATAGCAAGTCGGTAATCTCTTTCGCTTAGTTTGAGGTTAGTTTCAATACTAATACTAATTTTCAATATGTTAATTGTTGTATTTTAAAGCTTTGTAGCGAAAAGTTCTCTGGTAAGATTTTTTATATGAGAAACCAGAAGACTTATGAAAGAACACTTAAGGATAACAGCCAAAATTTAGGATACTTTAAAAGTTATTTTTTCCAATTCTTTATAAATAACATTCATTATTTAACAATAACAAAAATTATTTAATCATAAAAAGGCACGCTAGAAAATTTTTTAAACATACTATATATATGATAAAACCTTTAAATAGAAACTAATGAGATATTTTCGTAAGATAATGCCTCATATCTTGGCCTAACTATCGCTGAGTTGCTAATCTAAATTCTCGGAAAAAAAGATTTCTATTAGCCACACTTAAACTAAATTTAAATTCCTTATTGGCGCGTTCTCGGAATGGCGTTTCGCATTGTGTCAAAATGGTACGCAAATATTTATCAGTGGCGCCAAAAAAAAAAGCCAGGCCGGCCAAGTAGTTCTAATTTTAAATTGCAACATTCGCGAAATATAAACAGCTTCAAGAAACAAATATGGTATGTGAAGTGTGTCGGAAATCCTAATTTATGGTGGCGTGAGCATTTCGTCGATTCTTGTTGATTGAGATAGGGGTGCTCAAAGATTGTCTTAGAGTCTTAGAGATACCCTGTTGTAGGTAATCATAGAATTCCTAAAATTCCTGAGAGTAATAAAATATTTACTTGCAAAAATATAAATGTTTGTCGAACATATTTGATGAAATTTATTTTTCTAATGATGTCTTTTCAAAAAAAATGTATACAAATTTTTTCAAGCATAGTAACTTTTGCGAACATATGTTCTATGTTATTTAATATAATTACCTTAAAACTTCAATTTTTTAAACTTAAATTGTAAAACTTATTTTAAAAGAAGTGTTAAAAAATGTTTTATTTTGGACGGACCTTTTTTAATGTTCATAAAGACAGCTTCTTTAAAAATTATCTGGTTTAAAAATAAAATAAATAAATTTGTTTCATTCTGTTTAATAAGGACTTTGGTATTTTATTTATTCTTTTAATTAAACTTACACGAGAGCATAATAAAGGCAAACAAGAATGAGAGACGCCATTATCCAACCGAACAGGTTTGTTATCCAATCCCATGGAATAAGCTTTCACTTATTCAGCGCAAACAATCAGGACAATAAAAGGAGAATTTCATTGGGGTGGAGGAAATAACAAACAAATTCCTGAAACAAAATGATATATATATAATGCCTCAAACGAGATTGCATAATGACAAAATCAACGCATGCATAATTAATATTAACAAGCTGTGCACACATCATTACGGGAGGTCCAGTGTGGGAGGATAAATGGAATTGCCGGATGAAAGAGGCCTCGCCAGTAAGCTACTTATCAGTGATTTGCCACTAGCTCATTCCAAAGTACTGAAAAGACTAATTAAAAAATTCCTACGCTCGTTTTCGCTTCCAAATGGTCAACGATATTGAAGTTTGAAAATCCGGCATTTGACATTTGCTTGCGTGGGCACTTGCTTGCCATCCTATTGCTGGAGCACATTTAAAGTCATTTTCTTCCGCATCCCTGCCGGATCCCAGTAGCTACAGCTTATTGCTAAACAGAAAAAAATTATTTACTTTGTCATTCAATTTTGATTACATCATATTTGTTATGCTGCAGATAAATAATAATTTGTTAGTCAGACATTTCGACATTTTACAAAAACTTATTAAAAACTTCAAATAAAAAAAAAAATTTAAGTTTATATGTAATAAAATATATCTCATATATTTCTTAGAAAAAAATGTGTAGGTTTTGGTGGGCAATAAATGTATTCGTAAATACAAATTACACATACGACACGTAAGCCAGTTATAATAAATTATTTGATTAAACACACTTCATTTAAATTATAAATAGAACTTCACATTTTTAATCCAGAAAATTGTGTAAATGTAGTATTTAAAATAAAACAATATATTTATATATATATATAAATTATATTAATTATTCCCTGTGTACTGACCAGTTGGTATGCTCTTTGCTTCCTTTGCTAGTTCTTTCATCTGAATCAAGCCAAGTGTCTGAAATGCGTTGAGAATGCTGTTTTCTATTTGTGTTTGGCTTTGTCAAACATGCATTTTTATTATGCAAAGGGTGCCCTTGGCAGTTTCAATTGCATCCTCACTTAGTTTCGGTTCCTGGTCGTCCCTGCTCTGATCTCCAACCTCCTCTTTTTCGTTCATTGCAGTGTGAGAATCTGTTGGGACCCATAGGCGTCGCGCTGAACGGCCCCGGCCTAAGGGGCCATGACGCGTTGGCCCTTTAATCTACTACTCTTGCTGTCGGTGGCGGTACGCGACTGTAGCAATCATCGCACCGTCCTCACAGTCGGCTACCTAACGGCACTCACTGGCGAGCTCAAGACGCGCCAGGGACTGGCCATATCCGGTGCCCTGACTATGGCCCTGGATGAGGTAAGTGCATATGTAGTAGCTACGATTAAGTCATAAATATAAATCAGTCATTTCCAGAAGTTTGTTACAGGGATAACTACATTAAGAACTCACAATAAACATTTTACTCGAGCAGAGCCTAGCAAGATGTACATTTAACTAAATTGTAGACAGTTTCAAATTTAAATTGATCGGTTTCGTTTAACATATTGAGTACATGTTCTCATTTTGAGAATCCGAAAACAGGAATCCAGAGATTTTTCTTTGTAAACTTAACAACCTCTTAAAAATTATAACAGCAAGGTTAAATACAAAAAAAAGGTTAATACCTACAAACGGCTCGAGTTTAAGTTTAAGTATAATAATTTATAGGATGCAGTACAGAAAGAAGGGGATTTGTCTTTCATTTAAAACCTCTTTAAACTAAAATTTAGAATAAAGTGTTTCCGATCATCCGTTAGAAGAAAATACTTTATCTACTCCTCACATTATTGATAATATTTTTTTCTTTCTTCCCGAACACAGGTCAACAAAGATCCCTATCTGCTGCCAAATGTGACGCTGGACCTGCGCTGGAATGACACCAAGGGCGATACGGTATTGGCCACCAAAGCCATTACGGAGATGATATGCGATGGCATCGCTACCATTTTCGGCCCGGAAGGACCTTGCTATGTGGAGGCCATCGTCTCGCAGAGTCGAAACATTCCAATGATTTCCTATGTACGTATTTCGCGAGTCTGATTTATTATATCTTGGCTCGCCAGCAGACAATTTCACGCATCGCATTATATTTTATGCAACTAAATTGCTCATTTCATGGTGGTTTTTTGTCTTTTTCTCGTTTCGATAGAAATGTGCAGAGTACCGTGCATCCGCCATACCGACATTCGCCCGCACTGAACCGCCAGATACGCAGGTGAGTAAACAGTGGGCAACAGGTGGATGGTTGGGACAAGTGGGTGGATGGGTGGGTATCAGAAGGCTTTGGGTGGACATCCCTGCGGTGCCTTTGTGACTCGACAGGGACAGCTACTTAGCCGTGGATTATCCTCAAGTCGGGGACAGCAAACGGCCAAATTAAAAAAGACAAAGAAAGCACAGATATAAACGCAAGCAAAAAGAAAACTCAACGTTGTACTATTGTGGGCACATGAAAAGTTCTATAAGTAAAGATATAAATAAATAAAAAGAATACTATTAATTGAACAAGAAGATAACAATCAATTAAAAAAGTATAATTCTACAAAAATATATTTTTTAATAACAGTTATCAGATGCTTTTTTTGTCTGTGAATAAATGTTAAAATAAAAGGCATTTAGGCAAAAATTTTTCAATATCTATATTCAATAATATAATAATATATTTATAAATTATTGATTGTCAGAAGTTTTGGAAAAAAGTGGCAGATTAAATCTTATTAAACTTAGATTTTTTGTACAATTGGGCCATCCTAAAATAAAATGTTTAAAGTTGTTTTAGCTGAAACAATTTGATAAATTTTGATGATAAATTTAAACATTTTTTCACCGGAAACGTTTAAATTATTTAATTTTAAAGAATAGTGGTAATGATATTTTCCTAAGGTGTAGCTAAAACGAAAACAAAAATAATGATATGTGCCCTGACCCCAGCACATTCTTCTTAATCCTTTGACATTTTTTGTGATATACAGCTCACATGGCACATATTAAATTTCGTATTTTTCAGGTCGTTAAATCACTGCTTGCCCTCCTGCGGTATTATGCGTGGCAAAAGTTCTCCATTCTGTACGAGGATGTGTGGGCTCCGGTGGCAGATCTTCTCAAAGACCAGGCCACCAAGCGAAATATGACTATAAACCACAAGCAGTCGTTCATCGATAATCGGGCCAAATGTTGTGAGCTGATGCTGGACTGCTGTCGCTCAGGGTATTGGTATCAGGTAAGGTTATATTAATAGTTTTGGCCCTATGAATTACAACTAAATAATTTAATTATATTTAACGATCTTCTCCCTTAACAGCTAGTGCAGAGTACGATGAACCGCACTCGGATCTACGTATTCCTTGGGACGGCGAATAGTCTCGTTGATTTCATGAGCTCCATGGAGACCTCGGGTCTGTTTGCTCGAGGCGAGTATATGGTGATCTTTGTTGACATGATGGTCTACTCCGAAAGGTAATTTAAATGGGGTAATCATTTTGAATTAGTTTTAAAATGTTTCGTGATTTTGTTTTTCAGGGAGGCAGAAAAGTACTTGCGCAGAGTGGATCAAATAGCTCTTATGTCGAATTGCCACAGCACGGAGAACTTCAACCAACTGGCCCGCAGTCTGCTCGTCGTGGCCTCCACTCCCCCAACGAAGGACTACATACAGTTTACGGAACAAGTGCAAAAATATAGCTCGAAACCGCCGTTTAATTTATCGATTCCCAAGCTGTTTGTTGAAAGTAATTTTAACAAGGTAAGTACTCAAAAAAAACCTTTTCGTAATCGCTTTTTAATACCTTTCCTTTGATATTCAGTTCATATCGATCTATGCCGCCTACCTGTACGATTCGGTTAAGCTTTATGCCTGGGCTGTAGACAAAATGCTGCGTGAGGAGACACGAGTCCTTACTGATGAGGTGATCTTTGAAGTGGCCAGCAACGGAACTCGGGTGATCGATACCATAATCAAAAACCGTACTTATATGAGTAAGTTCTAATGTGAGCGGATAGACTATGAAGAATAGCTTTAATGGTTTTATTACATCTCCGTAAAGGCATCACTGGATCCAAGATCAAGATCGATCAGTATGGCGACTCGGAAGGTAACTTTTCGGTCCTCGCCTACAAGCCCCACAAGTGGAATAACTCCAACAACATACCCTGCAAATATCACATGGTTCCTGTAGCGTACTTTCACCAAGGCGAAGAACTTCCAGTGAGTGAGTCGTCTTCTCTTTTTTAGTTTGCCTTTCTTTCAATTGGTTCCCGCTTATGTTGAGTGCCTCAAAAACTTTCACCTCAACTCATCAAGTTATGTTAATTTTCTTGTGTACGGCAGGAGTACAAGCTGATCAATGGCTCAATAGATTGGCCATCAGGCGGTGAGAAGCCCACGGATGAACCGATGTGCGGATTTGCCAACGAACTTTGCCAAAAGGATGCCACCCACTACACGTCGACCGTTGCCGCCGTGGTTTTGGGCGTGCTGCTCTTTTGCTCCGGTGTGATTACCATGAGCATATATCGAAAGTGGAAAATTGAGTTGGAGATCGAGGGCTTACTTTGGAAGATCGATCCCAACGATATCAAGGGTTACTCCGGCAACGAGATTGTCTCCTCACCCAGCAAAGTAAATGCATATTTTTAATTTTTCATTTCTCTTTACTAAATTGTATTATTAAACCCTTTTACAGGTCAGTTTGATGAGTGCCCAGAGCTATGGTTCCCGCTGGACCAACCAGTTTGTAACCTCCACAGGTCGCCTGCGTGGCGCTGTGGTCCGTATCAAGGAGCTGAAGTTCCCCCGAAAGCGTGACATTTCCAGGGAGATCATGAAAGAGATGCGGTTACTGCGCGAACTGAGACACGACAACATCAATAGCTTCATTGGCGCTAGCGTGGAGCCGACGCGCATCCTTCTAGTCACGGATTACTGTGCCAAAGGCAGTCTTTACGACATCATCGAAAACGAGGACATCAAACTGGATGATCTATTTATTGCCTCACTCATCCACGACCTCATTAAGGTGAGTAGAAGAATTAGCCAAAGCCAATACATCAAAAATTGTATACCAGTCAAATAATAAATCAAATCTAATTGATAACTATAGTAAACATTTTTTATTGAAATCAATACAATAGTGGCTTAAATCTCTTCATGATTGGCTTTTCTAGATATGTTGAAAATAGATTCAAAGCTCTACAAGTCATAATTACTATTAACATCTTGTTGCTTGACTCCTTTGCAGGGCATGATCTACATACACAATTCTCAACTGATCTATCATGGCAACCTTAAGTCCTCCAATTGCGTGGTCACCTCACGTTGGATGCTCCAAGTAACTGATTTCGGACTGCACGATTTGCGCCAGTGTGCCGAGAACGAGTCCATCGGGGAGCATCAGCATTATCGAAGTGAGAATTTTCGAACTTTTCTCTATTTAAAATATAACTAACGACATTTCATTTGTAGACCAACTTTGGCGTGCTCCGGAACTGCTGCGGAATCACATACACGGCAGCCAGAAGGGCGATGTCTACGCTTTTGCCATCATCATGTACGAGATATTTAGTCGTAAGGGTCCGTTCGGACAAATCAACTTTGAACCAAAGGAAATCGTGGACTATGTCAAGAAGCTACCGCTTAAGGGAGAGGATCCGTTTCGGCCGGAAGTGGAGTCCATCATCGAGGCCGAGTCCTGTCCGGATTATGTTTTGGCCTGCATCAGGGACTGCTGGGCCGAAGACCCCGACGAGCGACCCGAATTCAGTGTCATACGGTAATGACTTTTAATTGTGGATAGCCTAATGGAAGTTAAATAAGTCAGTATTTCCATTTAGCAATCGATTGAAAAAGATGCGCGGCGGTAAGACCAAAAACATCATGGACCAAATGATGGAAATGATGGAGAAGTATGCCAACAACTTGGAGGACATTGTCACCGAGCGCACGCGTCTCCTCTGCGAGGAAAAGATGAAGACGGAGGATCTGCTGCATCGAATGCTGCCACAGTCGGTGGCCGAGAAATTGACCATGGGTCAAGGCGTCGAGCCGGTATCCTATGATTTGGTAAGATATATTTATATTACGCCTACAAATTTTCGTAAAGAATTAACACATTACATTACATACATTTTGTATTATTTTGTTCAAGTAAAGTTTACAAGTTATAACATAGGTTTTTAAAATGGGTTTCTGACACTCTTATTTTTCTTCAGGTCACCATCTACTTCAGCGACATTGTTGGTTTTACTGCAATGTCGGCGGAGAGCACACCGCTGCAAGTGGTGAACTTTTTGAATGATCTCTACACAGTGTTCGATCGCATCATACGCGGCTATGACGTGTATAAAGTGGAAACAATTGGAGATGCGTACATGGTTGTAAGTACAAAATGTGCTATGAACAAAAACCTACAAACTATACTCGTTTATCTAGTACCATTCGCCATTGCAAGTTTTAAACTTTTTAAATTCACACAATAAAGTAACATTCATTACATTAAATTAAAAAAAAACAAATACGGGTTTCCTTTAAGTTATATCATAGTTCCCAAGATCTTATCTGGATCATTGATTACAAAAAACTCTATCAAAAGTTATTTAATGCAGATTCCTCTGTGTTTTATTTTTCGGTTTACTAATTGTAAATATTTGTATAATCCTATTAAGTCGAAGTTTTAGATTAGTTAAACATTGCAAAGTTAATTGAAATTGTTCCTTATATGAAATCATTCAGTCTCAGAGTTTGTATAAAACATAATTTATTTTATTTCCATTTTAGGTCTCGGGTCTGCCCATAAAAAATGGGGACCGACATGCGGGAGAGATAGCTTCTATGGCCCTCGAACTGCTTCAAGCGGTGAAGCAGCACCGCATAGCCCATCGTCCCAACGAGACGCTGAAGCTGCGCATCGGGATGCATACGGGTCCGGTGGTGGCGGGCGTGGTTGGTCTCACGATGCCGAGGTACTGCCTCTTTGGCGACACCGTCAACACGGCGTCGCGGATGGAGAGCAACGGCGAGGCGCTGAAGATTCACATTTCCAACAAGTGCAAGTTGGCTCTGGACAAACTGGGCGGTGGCTATATCACCGAGAAACGTGGCCTGGTCAACATGAAGGGCAAGGGCGAGGTGGTCACCTGGTGGCTAACCGGAGCCAATGAGAATGCAATACAGAAGAAGCTCGTGGACATGATGGACATGCCGCCGCCGCTGTTCAGTCGTCCGCGAAAGAGTCCAAAACTAAATCCCGACTCCCGGCAGCCGAGCATCCAAGCCATGCACTTCTGCGGCACCGGATCAAGACGCCAGAGCACTGTGCCCAGGGCGATGGACGGGGAGTCCACGTACAGTCTCCAGGGATCCGTGAGGGATTCACCGCGCCTGGTCGGCAAACGGGACAGGGATCGGGAGCGACCTTCCATCAATGGTCTGAGCACAGGTCTCTTTGTGGGCGGAGCTCTCCTTGAATCCTCGCAGGCCTCGCTCAGCACGCTGAATCATTCCGAAACAAACGAAACGAACTGTGATATGGATGGGGGATCGGGAGGAGTGTCAGGATCGGGATCTGGACTAGTGCGTCAGCCCAATGCGCTGCACAAGCCGTTGGCCATGGTGCGCCCGCACAGGATTATTAGTGCTACCCAGTTACCCCAACTGGGAGATAACGAGGATGACTCTGCGGACATGCTGTTGCGGGAGTCTCGCTCCCTGGACCCCATGCCCATGCAGCAACTGCGGAAACGACACGATAGGGTCAAGCTGCCGCCCTCCAAGTTGTCAAAGAACAATTCGCGATCGCTAGACACGGGTGTATCGCTGATTAGTGGTAATCCCAGCGGCGAGGTGGAGTCGAGTCAGCTGGATCTGGATGACGAGATGTCCGTTAATCCGGTGGATGCCACCGATGGCTACGACGATGAGCTGGGCTTGCTGATGCGCCACGACAACGGTCAGTTGCCCGCTCTCCGCTATTCAGGCAGTTTTCCCAATGCCCAGATCAGCATTGTTCCTGCAGGAGGAGGACGAGGAGGAGGTAGCAACTGTGCCAAGCACCTGAACAACAACTGCAATGGCGGAGTGAGCATCGAGGATGATCTAGAGTCGCCGCTGTTGCAACGGCAGGCATCGCTATCCGTTCCTCCGGAGGAAATGCTGGCGCACAACAAGCGCTGGCACTCGCTGGAGCATATGGATGGACCCGGCGGCCATGGCGGGAATAGCGTGAGCTATGCCGCCGACATTGATAACCGGCAGCCGGGTGGTTTGGACTTCCTTAGCGGCTCCTCCAGTCAGCACACAGCCAAAACGGCTGGCGGAAGCAAGCTGACCAACTGGATGTCCAACATATTCAAGGGCAATGGCGTCCGCAGCGGTGAGGCTAGGCGAGTGGGAATGGCGCCCAGTGGATTGCATGGAGCACGCACTGGATTCACCGACATGGCGGCGTCGGCAGCAGCCCGGGATCGTGAGAGTATAGTGTAGAGATAATGAGGAGACAGAGTAGAAACTAAGAGAGGAGGAGCAGGATGACCAGGATGAGCTGGATGAAGAAGGTGGAAAAGTTACTCAGGAACCGTGTCGAGCAGGAAGCGATCGTCTTTTGGCTTATTTCTTTGTTTTATGTATTGTAGCTTGTATTGATTGAACGATTTGTGTGTCTGTGTTGAAAGTCCTCCACTTATAAACATATACCAGCCTGTTCCAAAATATTTAACCACACTGGCATTGCAGGATTTTAAAATGTCCTATGGAATTCCAAACTATTTTTATTTGATTCCAAGTGGAATCCTGCGATCCCGAAGTCGAACAGCGAGCAGAAGCTGATGCGAAAATCATACATAGCATATATTTGATAACTCTACATACATACATATTAGAGAAGCCGAAAAAACCGTCTAGTCACAAGGTCTTCAGACTAGTTATTGTTTTATATAAAATACACATACACACCCACACATATAAATGTACGTTTGTAAATGTAACACATACACACACATATTTATACGACGATGAAGAATCAAAAACAAATATTTTATGTAAATGTAATCGAAAATTTTTGGCTTCTATACAAGATGCGCTGCAGCAAACAAATTAAGCTTAAAACAGAAACTAGTTAATTTATATATTTGAAAACAGAAGAAAGTGGAAAAAATATAATGTATCAATGTGTTTTGCTAGTACGTAGTTAAGTGCGTGTGATTGTACGTAATTTTTAAGTCCCTACAACTAAAATAATAATTTTAATTAATTGATTATGAAAGAGAATTGTGAGCAGAGCAAAAGCGAGAAATGCGCCCGATGCGTGGTGTTAGCTGTATGTATGTATGTATATTTTTAAAAGAAAATTTGTTAAATTTGCCATATATAAATACAAACAACTATTATACATTTGGTTTCATGTTGCTCGGAACAGGGAAGGTTTTAAAGTTTAGGGTATTATGGCGTAAATGACAAAAATTAGATAACATAATCGCAAATCTTGGGCTTTTCTTCATTTTAAATCGTTTACTGATATGCATTTCTAAAAAAAAAGGATTATTTAATTTAAATAGGTCAACAAACAATGAACTAGAATTTGGACTCCTATTATGGTGTCTATTTACTGATCTTATTGACAATGAAAAACATAGTAATATATACAAATGGTAACTAATTTATATACATATGTAAGTAACCAAACTTAACCGAATTTTTTGTTTTGAAGCGATTCTTTCGGTACAGCTTCTCTGATTCGTTCAAGGGTGACTGATTTTCCAAGGATTTCCATCATTTCCGCCACGCCAGGTCCTTCATTTAAACCGCTCAAAGCTGCTCTCAAGGACTTCATCATTAGTGGGAATTTAATGTTTTCTCCTTGAGCAAAGGTTTTTAACTTAATATTGAGCCCGTCCTTGTTAAAGTCTTGGTCTGTTTGGAGTACATTAAGCAGCCCAATTAATTGCTCTGATGTCAGGTCTGTTAATTGAAAATTCGAGGGCTTGACCCAAAGAAAACTCAATTTGCTGCTGGTCAAATCTTGGAGCAATGTTAATCGCCGTGAGGACCAATTTAATACATCCACTATGTGACCTTCAGCTAGATCTAAGTTGGAGCTAAAGTAAAATGATTTTTTAAAGTTATGTTTTAGGGTAACCCGAAATGATTACTTACTGCTGTGGGTATGCTTTTTTCACCAGCTCATGGACTTGATTAACCAATTTCAAACGGCTTTCCACCCCCGACAATCGCTGTGCAATCTCCAGGCGATTGAGATCATCTAGCTGTTCAGGATTCAGGCGACTGGGATGAGAGTTAACTCGCTCTATATGGAACTGCTCAGATAGTTCCTGCATACTCAGCAACTGCTGCTTGGCGTTGGCCTTATGCTCGAATCCACCTCCCGCAGAGACCACATAGTTAACTAAAGCTTGAGGAAAGTATCCCCGCTGCCGGAAATACTGGATGCCAATGTCTCCTTGGCGTTTGCTCAGCTTGGTGCCATCTGCATTAACGAGAAGTGGCAGATGACCGAATTTAGGTGGTTGCCAACCAAACGCTCTATGGGATTAGATAATTTTGAGAATAAAAAAGAAAATATTGTTGACCAGTTATTAACACCTACTTGTAGAGTAGTAAATGCTTGGTAGTGGATATCTGCCACTCCACTCCCCTCAAGACATGGGTGATACCCATTAGATGGTCGTCCACCACGTTGGCAAAGTGATATGTGGGGAATTGATCGCTCTTCATAACCACTGGATCTCCTTCGTTATCGCTGACATTGTGGTGAACTTTGCCGTAAATAAGATCCTCTAGTGGTTCTTCGTGCTCCGTCAACTTGAATCGGATGCAGTGGGGAGTTTCTTTGGCCAAGAGAGAATCAATTTCCGCTGCCGTGAGATTCCGGCACTTGTTATCATATCGTGGAACTTGCCGAATTCTCAACGCCTCCTTACGCAATAAATCCAGACGACGTTCGGTGCAAAAACACCTATAGGCCGTGCCATTTTCGAGAAGTTTTTCGATGGCTTGGCTGGGAATATAAAAGAGTTTTTCTAATATAATGGCATTACATGATTTCGTCCACTGATCACCTGTAAATCTGCGTCCGGTGACTTTGAACGTAGGGTCCCAGGTTCCCGCCAAAACCAGGTCCCTCGTCAATTTCTATTCCCGCCCAGAGAAGGTCCTCGACCAGCCGTTCACTGGCACCCGGAACCAGTCGCGTTTGATCCGTATCCTCAATCCGGAGCAAGAATTTTCCTCCCAAATGCCGGGCATACAGGAAATTGTAGAGGGCTGTGCGTAATCCACCCAGATGCAGGTAACCCGTGGGGCTTGGAGCAAAACGGACACGCACCTGGTTGTGGGAGTGGCGAAGAAACTGCCTTAGTAGTAATCGCTGGTTTATCTTCAACATTTTATTACGGCTAAGGTTAAAATAAATGTCTTTCGCCGGTTTTTGTTTACCTTAATCAGCTGTTCGAAGTTGCCGCTGTTAACTCGCTTTTAGCGTGAACAGGAGTTTAACAGACAGTTGCCGCCGTTTTTAAATTCAAATGTTCTGTGTAAAATCTATATTTGCAAACTCAGCAAACTTAATTTAAAACAAGAATGGAGAATAAGTATCAAACGAGAATGGAGGCAACCTTCTCTAAAAAATCCACTTTGAAATCGGATGTCTGTAAAGAATGTTATGGGCGTAAAAGTGCAGATTTTTAGAAGTGTGCCACTAAACTAAAATTATAATACCCTCACAAGGGTATAAAAAGTATATATTATTTACTTTATATTCTGTCTTCTATTATTAGATAAGTGTCTTCATTTATAAATAGTTTTACAAATTCAGCATATTGCTTCTAAAATGTAAAACTAATACATATTTATTTTTGAGCTCTTTATTTAACAAAATGCAGTTTCCTTACAAGGGGAATCAATAAATTAGCAGCAATTTCTTTTTGTGAACATTCGGCTTAGTTGTAAGTATTACACAACTCAGGTAGGGCTGGCATTCGAAATTCTATTTAATAGAGCAGTTGGCCAGTTTGCTGGACAGCTTCTCGCCCTCAGGTGTCAGCAGAAAATTGTCCTTCCACACGGCCAATCCATCGCTGTTGGTCTTGAAGTCAGCGGATAGCTTTTCCCACACCTTCTTCTTGGGTTTGAGTTGCTCGTCGGGCGTGCCACTGAATCCCTCAAAATATAGCCGACTGCCAGGAGTAGCATTAGATGGCAGCACAATCGGTTCCACTACCGTGTGATCAGCGCTAGAAGAGATAAATAAATATATTAATATCTAGACCAGACCAGAGGATCCCAGTAGATGTAACCCACTTGGAGGTGCACAAAACCATTCCCTCTGATAAAATGCCACGTAGTAATCGCTGGTTTATCTTCAACATTTTATTACGGCTAAGGTTAAAATAAATGTCTTTCGCCGGTTTTTGTTTACCTTAATCAGCTGTTCGAAGTTGCCGCTGTTAACTCGCTTTTAGCGTGAACAGGAGTTTAACAGACAGTTGCCGCCGTTTTTAAATTCAAATGTTCTGTGTAAAATCTATATTTGCAAACTCAGCAAACTTAATTTAAAACAAGAATGGAGAATAAGTATCAAACGAGAATGGAGGCAACCTTCTCTAAAAAATCCACTTTGAAATCGGATGTCTGTAAAGAATGTTATGGGCGTAAAAGTGCAGATTTTTAGAAGTGTGCCACTAAACTAAAATTATAATACCCTCACAAGGGTATAAAAAGTATATATTATTTACTTTATATTCTGTCTTCTATTATTAGATAAGTGTCTTCATTTATAAATAGTTTTACAAATTCAGCATATTGCTTCTAAAATGTAAAACTAATACATATTTATTTTTGAGCTCTTTATTTAACAAAATGCAGTTTCCTTACAAGGGGAATCAATAAATTAGCAGCAATTTCTTTTTGTGAACATTCGGCTTAGTTGTAAGTATTACACAACTCAGGTAGGGCTGGCATTCGAAATTCTATTTAATAGAGCAGTTGGCCAGTTTGCTGGACAGCTTCTCGCCCTCAGGTGTCAGCAGAAAATTGTCCTTCCACACGGCCAATCCATCGCTGTTGGTCTTGAAGTCAGCGGATAGCTTTTCCCACACCTTCTTCTTGGGATTGAGTTGCTCGTCGGGCGTGCCACTGAATCCCTCAAAATATAGCCGACTGCCAGGAGTAGCATTAGATGGCAGCACAATCGGTTCCACTACCGTGTGATCAGCGCTAGAAGAGATAAATACATATATTAATATCTAGACCAGACCAGAGGATCCCAGTAGATGTAACCCACTTGGAGGTGCACAAAACCATTCCCTCTGATAAAATGCCACGCATCTTAGAGGGCTTCAGGTTGCACAGAACAGCCACCAGTCGCTGATCCAGCTCCTCTTGGGTGACAAACTTCACCAGGCCACTAATAATCGTTCTAGGCTGCTCTTCAGCCAAGTCGATCTTTAGCACATAAAGAGTATCGGCATCTGGATGACGAGCCACCTCCACAACCTTTCCCACGCGGATATCCAGACGATGGGGGGCGTCTTCGTCAGCGCCAGCAGCCGGAGCAGCTCCTGCCTTTACTTTTGCAGGTGGTGGATAAGCTGCGGCACTTAGTTTTCTGTAAGAAACGACTTGGTATTTCTTTAATCTTTAAACAAATCCCTAAAAGTTTACATACTGCAGTTCTGGCTTTTCAAAGGCCTTGCGAATGGGATCCAGGAGTCGATTGATGTACTTTTCCACGGTGGCCTTTAGGTCACCCGGATGAAGCTTGTCCTCTGCATAATACTTCTCCAGATCTTCGTACTTGAGGAAGGTAGCATCACCACCGTGTTCCGCTTCCCGGTTAACCTCGAAACCTTCGCCCTCCTTAAAGAGCGAGAACAGGACGTGCTTAACGAAGGACAGGAGTCCGTTGTCGGCAATGTTTCCAGGCTCGCAGAAGGCCTTCTTCAGCTTCTTCTTTACGTTTGCTGGGGAGTCCAAGAGGTCGATTTTGGAGTCCTCCTCCGAAGAGGACATTTTGCCACCAGCCAGACCAGGCACTAAAATAAAAACAATTAGAAAATTATAAGAATAGCGCTTAAACTTTAGGCACTTTGGTGATTGCTCTGCACAACATGGACTTTTATTTTAATTGTCCTAAATAGTCGGTGGTCTATTTCAATTTTAAGGTACATTCCCAAAGTAAATGCGTAAATGTAGTAATAAATAGGATGTAATAAAGAACACTTGTGGAAAAGTTTTTAAAAATATACGAATTAGTTTACAATCTTAATAATGCAGATCGGATTCGAAATAAACTATAATAAAAGAAAGAAAACTGTTTAGGAACACCGTTTACTAATCAGAAACTCTCATTTTGCTGTAGTGTGTAATAGATGACTCACCCATGGGATTCATGAAGTGGATGCGCTTCTCGTAGCCCAACTGGGGCAGATACTTTTCCGAGAAGGTGAAGATTTTGCGCTGGTCTACGCCACCGAACTGGGCGTCCACCTTAAGGTACTCCTCGTCCAGGGCCTGCAGTCCAGGATAAAGCAAGCCAGAGAGGAGTGGGTACTCCACCTGTTTGACCACCTCGGCTCCTGCCTTCTTCGCGTCATGCTGCGTGACAACGGAGCTTAGTTTGTAGACATCCAGGGTGTACTCCTTGGACAGTTGATAGTCGCTGCCCTTCACAAACTTTAGCTTCTCCAGCGGAACGCCGATGGAACTGAGCATTGCTTTGATGACCTGTTCGTAGTATTGGGTACGCAGCTCTAGCAGAGACCACGGTGCCTTCATGTTGTCCAGATAGGCATGCAGATCGGCGAACAGGATCGTCACCTCGCATCCCGCCTTCAGAAAGTCCGCAATCTTTGACATGGGCACAAAATAGGCGACATGTGGCTTGCCCGTCGTTGCCGTTCCCCAGTATATCTTCAGATCCCGCTCCGCCAGGATCTTGGTCAGCTTATCATCGCCGAGCGTCTCCTGCAGGTTGCGGGTTATCAGCGTTTTCTTTTCCGCTGGCGTTATTCCGACCATTTTTCTAGGAATTTAAGAGACTTTCGCGTGCGAAATCACGAAATTGTTGCCGGGAAGAGGAAGAGCGTAACTGCATGCGTGGTGATCAGCTGTTTCGATTTTAACAGTGGTGCCTTACAGTGCCCCTTAACATCAGTGCTGCCACTGTTGTAGGTGAAAATATCTGAATCAAAGTTTGATAAAACTAATTTTTTACCCATTAATCTAATTTTTTACACATGTTTTTATAACTAACTTTTTAAAAGATTAAAATTAATTGCTAAAAAAACCAGTTCTGATTCTACACACAAAACATTTATTAGTCAATTATCAAAAATGTATAGATATGAAGGTATGTGTACTTAACAGTTCTTAAACATTGGCTTCGGAAACATTATGTTATATTCAAAGTTTCTGCAGCTGGTCACACCAAATTGCGAAATTGCCGCGTGCGGGTTTGTTTATAAATACAATTAAACCAATAGGCGAAATTCCCAGTTGAATTCGTACTAACAATCAGAAAGTCATTACTTCAAGAAACCATTCAGGATGCCCGTAGTCGAGGGCACCGATCTGGTGCATCTGCAGCGACGTCGTCAGCAGGTGCGGAACATCTGTATCCTGGCGCATGTGGACCATGGCAAAACCACTCTAGCGGATTCACTGGTGGCCAGCAATGGCATCATTTCGCAGAGGATGGCGGGCAAGCTGCGCTACCTGGACAATCGGGCGGACGAACAGGAGCGGGGCATTACGATGAAGAGCAGCAGCATCTCTCTGTACTATCAGGAAGCAGAGGAAATCGCTGGTAATCCGGACTACCTCATCAATCTTATTGATTCTCCCGGTCACGTGGACTTTTCTAGTGAGGTTTCCACTGCGGTCCGTTTATGTGATGGTGCCATTGTCGTGGTGGATGTGGTAGAGGGCGTAGGTCCCCAAACCCGAGCCTGTTTAAAGCAAATCTACGAGGAGCAACTAAAACCCGTATTGGTTCTCAACAAACTAGATCGCCTGATACTGGAGAAGCAGATGGATCCGCTGGATGCCTACTTCCACTTGACCCAAGTCCTGGAGCAAGTTAACGCCGTTTTGGGCAGCATTTTCGCATCCGATATTTTAGCCAGGGAGGATATTACCAAAAAAGACAACTACGAGTCTGCCTTGGAGGAAGTGGATGACTCCGAGCTGTATTTCTCACCCAGCTCAGGCAATGTAATCTTCTGTTCCGCCTACGATGGCTGGGCATTTTCCGTCCGGGACTTTGCAGCCATGTATGCCAAGCGATTAGAGTTGAAGCGAAAAGATCTAGAGCAGGTCCTCTGGGGCGACTTCTACTACAACTCCAAAAAGAAAGAAGCTTTGCCGGGAGCCCAAGAAAAGGCTAAGAAGCCCATGTTTGTGCAATTCGTGCTGGAGAATATCTGGAGCCTTTACGACATCATAGCTATTAGAAAGGATAAGGATAAGCTGCCTGGGATAGCGGAGAAATTGGGTCTGAAATTAGCCGCCAGAGATTTGCGTCTCACAGATCCGAAGTTGCAGATCAAAGCGGTTCTTGGGCAGTGGCTACCCATCGATAAAAGTGTCCTGCACATGGTGATTAACCATGTACCTCCACCTCACAAAATCAGCGAGGAAAGGGCCCAGAGATTGCTCTATCCAGCGAATGTGGATCTGAGTTCCCTTCCGTCAGAAACCCTGAAACTCAAGGAGAGCTTTACCAGTTGCGATGCCGATAGTTCAAATGTTATTGCGTTTGTGTCCAAGATGACCCCCGTACATGTGTCGCATTTGCCACAGAATCGACCCAAGAGGTTAACGGATCAGGAAGTGCAGCAACGCAGAGATGAGGTGCGTCGTCGTATTGAAGAAAGGAAGCTACAAAGTGAGCAAGCAGAGCTTGAAAAGATTAGCCAGGGCGTGGAGCAGCTGAGCACTCAGGTGGAGGTCACAAAGAAGGACGAACCCGAACTAGAAGAGGGAGAGGCCAACGAGTTTGTTTTCATAGCCTTCGCTAGAGTCTTCAGCGGCACTTTGAAACGCGGTATGGAATTGTTTAATCTATCGCCCAAACACGATCCTCGTCAGCCGACGCACCGCAGGGAAGATGAAGCCCCCTTCGCCAGTCGTGTGACCATCGGAGATCTTTACATGTTTATGGGAGGTGAGCTGCAACTCCTGGATGAAGTGCCTGCGGGAAATATTGTAGGAATCGGTGGTCTAGAATCGCACATCGTCAAAACAGCTACCTTAAGTAGCAGTTTGGATTGCACCTCGTTCAGCGAACTTAGCATTATGGCCACTCCTATTCTCCGCGTAGCCATCGAACCTGTTCAGCCGCAAGATATGCCCAAACTGGTAAAAGGATTAAAGCTTTTGAATCAAGCAGATGCCTGTGTACAGGTGTCTGTCGCTCCCACTGGTGAGCACGTGATTACCACTTTGGGCGAAGTCCATGTAGAGAAGTGTGTCCACGACCTAGAGCAGAGCTATGCCAAAGTTAAGGTAAACGTCTCCAAACCGATTGTGTCCTTTAGGGAAACAATTGTGCCCGCTGCTACCGTGGATATGGTTAATGAGGCTATTGTGAAAACGGCGGAGGACAAGGATGTGAACAAGAAGATCGCCATCCAACATACTCTCAACAAACGGGGTACTCTTAAGGTGATCGCGGTGCCTCTGCCCGCAGAAGCAGTGGAGTTGTTGGAAAAGCACTCGGAGTTTTTCAAGGTAAGAGCTAAAGTAAATGTGTTCAGCAAATTATTAATTTATGTCTTCGTTCCGCAGGAACTGGCTGCCATTTCTCGAAACCAACTGCTCTCAGAGAAGTGGACTACACTGCTGGCCTCCATTAAAGTGAAACTAATCGCAGCTCTCCGGGATGTACAATTGTTTGGCTTAAGTTCCCTATCCACCGAAGAGCTTGTAAATCGAATCTGGGCCTTAGGTCCTCGGAATTGCGGCACCAATATATTGCTTAACCTTAGCGACTATGAGCAACCAGACTTTTGGTCCAGTCATGCCAAGTCCTCCGATACAGATATTCGTTCCAAAACCGATACGCGCAAGGACTTCAATAGTTCTTTGGTGAATGGCTTTCAACTGACCTCGGTAGCGGGTCCTTTGTGCGAAGAGCCCATGCAGGGCGTTTGTTTTGTGGTTCTCGAGTGGTCAATCCAAACTGAAGGCGAGGATTTAAATTCCCGTGGTCCCTTTTCGGGTAGGTTAATGAAATTTTCCCCAAAAATATTTATTATATTCAATTCTTATAAAAATTCCAGGTCAAGTTTTGACTGCTGCCAAGGAGGTTTGTCGTCAGGCCTTTCAGAATCAGCCGCAACGATTGGTCACGCCCATGTATAGCTGCAATATTGTGGTTAATGCGGAAATGTTAGGTGAGTGGCTTGAATTGAATCGTATAAAATATATTTTCTAAAAACCCGAAAACCAATATTTAAAGGTTTTCGAATTTTTATAATATATGTGCTCAGATGTTCTTCCTCGACCTTAATTACATACAGGTTGTCATTATTTAAGGACCATCCATAAATAAATTCTTTTTCAAACGAGATATATTTTAAAATAGTATTTTATTTAACTACTAGTAAATGCAGCTTAGGTCTAAACATAAATAAGCAACTAAATTTAGGTTACATAATTTCGGTGTTGGTTTTTTGTTTTTATTATATTTTTGTTTTCTCGTTTCCTTTTAAAATAGTTTCCAGTTTTGCACCTAAACTATTCGTTTAAATCTTTAAATATTATTTTTAAAAGTTGAGGCCTTGTTTACGCTTAAATGCAAAACAAATTAATTAAACAATTAGTTCGATCGTGCCCGGGCACGTGTAATTGTTTAATTAATTCGTAAATTGTTTTGTAAATAAATACATGTATAAATATATAAATTAAGAGGGGTGGTACGCTGGGAAGAAATGCCAAGGGAAATGCCTAAAAACTTGTTTTTAAATTAAGAAAAGCTTAGCTAATTACGTTACGCTACGCTAGACGTTACGTGACGTGAACTTTTTGCTTTATTGAAGCCATTTTCATCCGTTTTTCTCATCGTTACTTCAGTCACAGTTGTTTTTTTTGCACAGTTTATAGTCGCCGGAAATGGCCTTGTGCTATTGAAATTGTATCTACTAGGATTGGTTGGTATTCCCGGAACTTAGTCCCAAATAATGCTCTGCTGGAACTCAAGGACGCGATCCCATGGGAACTCCGGCTCAAAGTCGTCCGTTTCGGGTAGGGATCGCCTGGCACGGCTTTCGATAGCTGAGTCCTCCGCCGTGGTGGTCAGTTCCGCCGTCACTGGAACCGCTGCAGCCGCCGGTTCCGCTTCCTGTTCCGCTTGCAGAGTGGTCCTGGCCTCCTCCTCACCGGCTGGAGTACTGCTGCTCGGTTGCTCCTCGGTTCCGGTTCCCGATCCACTGGAAATAGCCTCGATGGGCGGTAAATCGCCGCGTCTCTCGTTGTTGCGTCCGTAGTTGCTGCCCGGGAAATTGTTGATCGAGAATTGATCCGGTCGGAAGTTGGCGGAGCTATGGCTACCGCTGCTCTCCGGTCGATTGAGGTACTGATAGGAACTGCTTCCGCCATTCTGGAAGCTCTGATCTTGCGGCTGGTAGTTGGAACTGATGGCTGAACTTCCCGCGGAGCTAGCACCTCCATAGATGGGTCGGCCATAGCTATCCTTTTGCCCGCCAAGGGTTGTTCCGACTGAAGGACGATAGAAGGGCTTCTGCAGTTGATACCTCTTGGGTGGCTGGTTGCTGGGCTTGCGCACCGAGTATCCCGGTTTCACGCACATCATGCCAAAGACTCGGATTCCGGGCACGCTGGCATATGTGGGCTGGTCATGAGCCATGGGTCCCTCTGAAAATTTAAAATAATTCAATGAAAAGTATGTTAATTACAGCAGCATTAAAAGATAACTGAGAAAGGACATCATTTAAGTTATAAATATTTTTAAATGTTGTTTAAAATATTATTGTATTTTAAAATTTAAAACATTATATTTTTGAATAGCTTAATATTTATCTTATAATACTAATTGAATTCCGACCAAAGTACTATGAATGCAAAGGACTGATTGAAATTAATTCGAAACAAGAAAGGAAAGCTAACTTCGGACGGAGCCGAAGTTGATATACCCTTGCAGAATATTCTGTAAATTATATTCTTCAAAATTATTCATATGGTGTATTCTTAATACTCATAAAAAGTCTCAACTTCCTAACTTTAAAAACACCAAAGTTATGGCATTTCCAATCGTTCAGTTATATGGCAGCTATAGGATATAGTCGGCCGATCCTTATGTAATTTGGTAGGTCGGATTGATTGGCCAAAAATAAAACCCATAGAAAATCCCAACTTGATAACTTTAAAAACACCAAAGTTATGGCATTTCCAATCGTTCAGTTATATGGCAGCTATAGGATATAGTCGGCCGATCCTTATGAAATTTAGTAGGTCGGATTGATTGGCCAAAAATAAAACTCATAGAAAATCCCAACTTCCTAACTTTAAAAACACCAAAGTTATGGCATTTCCGATCGTTCAGTTATATGGCAGCTATATGATATAGTGGCCCGATCCGGCTCGTTCCGACTTATATACTACCTGCAATAGAAAGACAACTTTTGGGAAAGTTTCAAGCAGATAGCTTTAAAACTGAGGGACTAGTTTGCGTAGAAACGGACGGACGGACAGACGGACAGACGGACGGACAGACGGACGGACAGACGGACAGACGGACATGGCTAGATCGACTCTCCTGGTGATGCTGATCAAGAATATATATACTTTATAGGGTCGGAAATGTCTCCTTCACTGCGTTGCAAACTTTTGACTGAAATTATAATACCCTCTGCAAGGGTATAATAAACAAATTTAAAATTAAATATATTTATACCCTTGCAGAGGGTATTATAATTTTGGTCAAAAGTGTGCAACGCAGTGAAGGAGACATCTCCGACCCTATAAAGTATATATTTGATCAGGATACCTCCTGAGTTGATATAGCCATGTCCGTGTCCGTCTGTCCGTTGTCCGTCTGTCCGTCTGTCCGTCTGTCCGTCTGTCCGTCTGTCTTCCGTCTGTCTGTTTCTACGCAAACTAGTCTCTCAGTTTTAAAGCTATCGGATTGAAACACACCCTTCTTTCCTTTGACGCAGTATATAAGTCGGAACGGCCGGGATCGGCCGACATATCCTATAGTATATAACTGATTGATCGGAAATGCCATAACTTTCGTGTTTGTAAAGTTGGAAGTTGGGATTTCTATGGGTTTTATATTTAGCCAATCAATCCGACCTACCTTTCTAGGATCGGCCGACTATTATAGCTGCCATATACTGATTGATCGAAATGCCATAACTTTGGTGTTTGTAAAGTTAGAAAGTTGGGATTTTCTATGGGTTTTATATGGCAATCAATCCGACCTACCAATTTCATGGATCGGCCGACTATATCCTTAGCTGCCATATATGATTGATCGGAAATGCCATAACTTTGGTGTTTGTAAGTTGAAAGTTGGGATTTTCTATGGGTTTTATATATGGCCAATCAATCCGACCTACCAAATTTCTAAGGATCGGCCGACTATATCCTATAGCTGCCATATAACTGATTGATCGGAAATGCCATAACTTTGGTGTTTGTAAAGTTAGAAAGTTCGGATTTTTATGAGTATTAAGAATGCATCATATGAATAATTTTGGAGAATATAATTTATAGAGTATTCTGCAAGGGTATATCAACTTCTGCCAGTGCTTTTCTTGTTTAATTTAAAAACGTACCCATCTTGAAGTGATCGGGACAGCGGCAGATGACCAGGTAGTGCGACTTGCCAGTTCGTGTGTTCTGGAGCGCCAGAAGGGACCAATCCTTGGGTGAACGGCATTCGCGCATCTCGGTGGTGGCCTCGCAGGTCTTGGCCAACGTGATGGCCTAAACATGGAACATGGGAAAACAAAAAGTTTAAATATAAGTGGGGAAATACAATAATGCACTTAAAACAAGAAAGGAAAGCTAACTTCGGGCGGAGCCGAAGTTGATATACCCTTGCAGAATACTCTGTTATTATATTCTCCAAAACTATTCATATGATGCATTCTTAATACTCATAAAAAATCCCAACTTCCTAACTTTAAAAACACCAAAGTTATGGCATTTCCAATCGTTCAGTTATATGGCAGCTATAAGATATAGTCGGCCGATCCTTATGAAATTTGGTATGTCGGATTGATTGGCCAAAAATAAAACCCATAGAAAATCCCAACTTCTTATCTTTAAAAACACCAAAGTTATGGCTTTTCCGATCGTTCAGTTATATGGGAGCTATATGATATAGTCGCCCGATCCGGCTCGTTCCGACTTATATACTACCTGCAATAGAAAGACAACTTTTGGGAAAGTTTCAAGCAGATAGCTTTAAAACTGAGGGACTAGTTTGCGTAGAAACGGACGGACAGACGGATAGACGGACGGACAGACGGACATGGCTAGATCGACTCTCCTGGTGATGCTGATCAAGAATATATATACTTTATAGGGTCGGAAATGTCTCCTTCACTGCGTTGCAAACTTTTGACTGAAATTATAATACCCTCTGCAAGGGTATAAAAATCTATTTCAAAAATGTTTTTCTAAAGCAAAAGGACCTGAAAAGGAGCTACTTAAAAAATGTTATCTAACTAGACTGAAAGTTACATTATTACAATTTCTATTTCAAATGAAATGTGCAATATAATCTTGCTATTTCCGTCACTATTCGTAACTTGCTAAAAATGTCAAAACCGTAAAACTGCTATATGACTGCAAGTGGTGTGGCAAATCTTTTGTTTTAGTGCAGTCTGTCTAGACTGCAGACTTGGTTTAATAGTCCGCCCATTAGCCATTCACTTTGGCCCACAGGGCAGGAAAGAAAGTTACCCCGATCCCCATTCCGATCCCGATCATGACTCTAAATTGAAAGCTAGCATGCTAAACGCTATGGACAAGCTGTCACTTAATACGAAGCAGAAAAAAAGGAGCAGCCGGCGCCCTGGGCTTTGATTTGGTGATCTGCCTATACTAGACTATAAAGCCGGTGGGCTGGCTCGAACACTTTGCTGGCCAAATTGCCCTGACTTTGGCCATTCTGCTACGCTTTCAATTGGCCAACATGATTGTCCTTTAACTGATTTACAGCCTGAGCTACTGTTAGTGCTGCTCGCCGAACGTTAATTTGATTGACTCTTGAGGCGCTCGTTTGCATGTCAGCCAATTGGGAAAATCTTTTCTTTTTTTTCTACCCATTTTCCGCTCGCTTCATTGGCTGGCATTCAGGTTAATGTGGTCCGCCCGGCTGTTCCAGTTTTTCCTAACGCCCCGCTCTTGTTTTCTGTTTTCCAGCTAAACGCATTTTCATAATTTGCTGTACAGTTCCGGCAAAGCAGAAATAGCAACAGCAACAGCAAGTGTTGCATTTAACGGTGAAGTGAAGTGTAATTATGACAATGTCTGGCACTGCCCACACTCCACAAACAGTGCACTCTGCGGACCACTCGGCGTGTCCATTAAGCCATTAGAAATGCTTTTTATTATTTAATTTATTTGAACATTTTGCCAAGCAACGCTGTTCGCATTTATAACTCAATTAAAGGTGCGGAGAACCGGGAAAATCGGGGCGAAGGAGCAGATCATGGCCAGGCAATAAAGTAAATAACACTGCAAACCGCAGGCGAACCGCATTGCACAGCCCACAAGGTGATTTTCTTACTGACCTGGCCAATTGATCGTGCCTTCGGGTGGCTGGGAAGCAGATCCTCCAGTGAGAGTCTGCGCTGCGGACCCAGAAATCAATTTTACGATTCGGTGATCCAACAAATGAGGCTCAATTTGGGTGAATTCGCGGGGCGATCTTCAACTGATCAAATGATATATTGCTGGCTTCCAGCTATCGTGCTTTTCATTAATTGACCACTGCTTTGTGAAATTCCCAATGGTTTTCAAGGAGTGGTCTCTTAAAAAGCACTCATCTTCTCTAAGTATTCAAATGATACTCAATTATATGATCATGGCGTGTGTGTGCTGCCGAAGAGAATTTTATCTTATTTTCCTGGGTACTTCGTTTATTTTGGTTGTAAAAAACACAGAAACCCGATTTTCATGATTTGTGAAATTCTCTAATTGAATAGAAAGTCTTCTGCCATGCGATTTTTCTTAAAAAATAAAAGAAGTTTGTTTCTCTGTAGAATTCTTCTGTATAAATTATTATATTATATATATTCTACCAGTAAAAAACCTATATTTTGCACTGAAAATACAAATGTTTCTTAAAGTTTTAATAAAAAATTATATTTCTATTCAATTTTCTGCCTAAGGCATGGCATTTAATTTGTTAAAATTCATTCCAAAGCTAAATTATTTATCTGGCATTGTTGGGAGGAATTCGTTATCTAAAATACTTGGACCTAAATTACAACCCGATTACAAATGATCGTTTCTCAATAAAAATACTATCACAATAACTAAATTCTGCTCAATCACAATAAATAATATGGATGAGACTTTCAAGTTCCCTTAATAAATTCCATCCAAACTTTAAACAATTATAAAAAATGAAATTCGTGTCTTCTTCCAGCAATCTTAGCTATTAAGTTGCCCTCATACTGATCAATTCCATTAATTCATTTAAAAAGAGATCAAATCATATTTGTGGTCAGCCAATGATGTGGAGTCGTGCCAGTGAGAACCTGTAACTATCTATTGAAGTAATGATCCACCGAGAGTGGTCTAACAAATGATCTAGAAATGCATTCTGCCAGTTCCACTTTCGGTTCCCAAGAGATCCTCCAGTCGTGGCCAAAGCAATTATCTAAGTAACTCGGTTGGGAATAAGTCTGCTTACCTTCTTCTTATTATCGCCAACCAATTTTGTGGTATGCTGATCATCTTCATTCAGGCTGGCCGAGCAGGGATCACGATATCTGGAAGAGGATTAGATTTGCAGGATTAATTAGAACTTGCCGGGAGTGACAAGTGGGTAGGTCCAACCTCTGGGTCCCAATCCAGCAACTCACCTTGATGGACAGGCGCACAGTGGTTGGGTGTAGTTGAGTCTCACGTAGACGGCATTACAAACTTGTTGAATGGCACACTCGGGCAGCAGATAGATGTGCTGATTGTGCGGATAATAATGATATTTCGTCGGTTTCGCTGTCGCCGTTTTCTGTAAAATGAGAAGCGTTGGAAACGATGAGAATCAGCTCCTGTTGATTGATGTGGCCAAAAGGGTTTGCCTCCCATCTTCTATTTGGCTAGCAATTAAAGTTGGTGGTATAACCCTGTTGGCCAGCTGGCAAATGTTTGCACCGCAGACGAAGTGTCTTGTCGAGGCGTTACAAAGTGTTGTTTGTCTACCGCCTGGATGAAGTGCGAAATTGACGCTTCCCCGGGAGCGTTATCCCCATCCCAATCCAACCCATCGCCCTGCCAAAAGTTTTCGTTTCTCACAGTAGGGTATTGTCATATTTTGCAGAAGTTTGGAAAAGTTATAAAGGATTGTCATTACGTACATAAAGTAACTATGTATTAGTGTATAATATTTTACTAGTCATATTGTAAATGTATTTCTAACTTTAAGCTCCTCTAAGTAATTCGATTTATCAAATAAAATATTTTTTACTTTCTGAACGCGTTTGTTACTTCTGCAGACATTTTTATAACAACCACCAGAAAAATGTTAGAAAATGTATACTACTTTTTGAAGCGTAAATGTGAAATATTTATAACTGGTTATGTCCAAAATGTATCTTTAAAACCATAATCTTATTAGAATGGTGTAATAAAAACGTAGCCAATGTTATAGAAGCTAAGTGAGCCAGGGACTAACTAATAATCATTTTTCGGTTTTTTATTAAAATTATATTGTTATAAAATAAATAATAAAACATTAATCAAATTATGCGGTAGGACAGGAAATTTTTGTAAAAATGGCTAGATAGTTGCCAAAAATGAAGAAATTGATAAAATCGAAAAAGGTTTTAATTTTTACTTTTTCAACCATTTGAAAAATATGTTTCTGAAAGGGTATTCAAAGTGGCGATTTCCAAAGACGTATTACGTTTTTCTTATTTTATAATAACCTTGCGAGACGCGAAAACGGTTAAAGAATAACAAAGTAGGAGGAAAAAATGGGAGCCGCAGCACCAGAGACGGACTTTTAGCAAGCATTCAAAGCACTTTGAGCCGAGAAGAGTCGACTTGAGTTGATTTGAGTTGCCTTGGCCAAACCGGGTTAATGGCAAACGAGACCCTCACATAATGCCACACAAAATTGCTTGGCTCGCCTGGCGTTGCAACGCGCCTTTTCCGCCGAAGAAGGGGGAACAAAGTTATTAAGAAATTGATGCAACTTGGAGGGGACCGCGTAAAGTCGAGTGTGAGTATATAGCATATATATGGTATGTGTGTTTGGTAACCCTGGGTAACCGGGTAAACTGCCAAACGCACTTTTACTTGTATTTTCCAGCCATCTCCCTTTTGTTCCCCATTCCATTCCATCCCACCTGACCCAACCCATCAGCCACTTCCTTCCTGCGACCATTTCCCAGTGTTTTCCCCAAGTTATTTTTCATTTTGGAAAACTTTTACCGACAGCAGGGGGAACTCAGGATACTCTGTTCCTTCATCTCTCCCTTCCCCTTTGTTCGACTATTAAAAAGTTTCGTAGTTGAGTTTTTCAACCTTTACTTGGGAACTTTTTTGTCGGCATTTATGACACAATTGAAGGTAGTTTTCATTTATATGTGCTATACAACTTTTCCCTTTTTCGGTATTTGTTTAATTATTTTGTAATTTGTCTTCTTGTTTATCAATGCGTGAAAATTCTGGGAACATGAGAGAGGGTACGCAGTTTGAAATGGAGCAAGGGAATTTAATGATTTCATTACCTTATGTTGAGAAAAGATGATTCAGTAGACGAAAGAATTACAAAACGCAATTATTTTAACTGGAATGGGTCATTAGATCAGTGTATTATAAGTTACTAATATCACCTTCCTGTTGGATTTTTTCATTGAAATCGATTTAAATTGTATATTTACTCTTATTAAATTTTAAATAAATATTTTTGGTGAATACCCATTTTAAATTTAAAATTTATACTAAAAGGTAACAAATCTATAAATTTTATGATATAATTGGATTAATAAAGACGAATGTATGTATTTATTTTTTATAAATTGAGTTAATTGTTAGAGTGTATCGTTGTTGTATGCAATCCAATTGTATCCAATTGTATGTTGAACATGTAGAGTCAACTTAATTCGATATAGTTCCTCATTTTATTTTTACTTTTCCATAAAACATTTTAGTCTATGCACCTCTAAAGCTGCTCTAAGTCCCAGGCAGCTTTCCATTCAGCTGACAATTTATCGATCTAGTTTACAGCCACCTTGAACCCCATTTCCCTTTTCTAGCGCCCCAAATCGCAGCGCCAAACTCAAACAATTCCCTTTCCTACTTAGCACATAATTGAACTGAAAGCATCTTTGGTTTAGGCCAAATTGCCGGGCCATGATCCGCTGGAAAGAAACGGTACTTCCCATGTCAGTCATTTACCATTCAGCCACCTACTGTCAGGTAGGTCCAGGTTGCGGTTTGGGTCGCTCCTTTCTGTAGAGTGATTTACACTGACCCTGACCATTATTATTGAATTTTTGCCGCTTGTACTTTGGCTTTTCCGTTTCCCTATTTGGCGTCAGCTGGTTGTCGCTTCTGTCCAAGTGTCCAAACTGTCGCCGCCAATGCTTTTGTTTCCACTCCTCCGTGTTGCTGGCCTGCCTGTCTCTTTCACTTTGGTTAAGTACATTTTTAAATATTTACCATGTGCCTACAATGTAGGAATCGGGAACGGGAACGGGAAAGGGGGGAAATCCCTAACTAGGCCCTAAGCCAAAAGAATTTTCCACGAACTGCAAATTAAAGCGTTTTGTTGCTGTGTGTCCGCTTTTCACACAGGTTAAAGTTCAGCCAGTGGCAGTTAGCAAGAGATACTCCCATGCCCCTCCAGCTTTTTTGCTCCCTGCCCACCCAAGTGCCACTTGAAAATCGTGTTCTCCGATGCCAGCTTCCTGCAATTTGGACTGCAGCTTGGAGTTGGAATCTCGACGCGACCTTTCACGGGTTGTGTTTCTTTTTCTGCACTTCGTGTTTGGGTTTTTTCCCTCTGTTTTTTTTGGAGTGCCATGAATTGCGTTTTGATTGAAAAGAAAGTGACATTTCCGTTGATTTTCCTTTAGCAGAATGGCTCTTTAAAGTTTTCCTTTTATGCAACTCTTTCTTTCGTATTGGCTGCTAATTTTTTTTATTTGCCATTTGCCTGGGCAAATGACGTGGAAAATTTTCTTTTTGTTTGTTCCATAACAACATCGAATGGTAAATAGCAAACAACAAACAGTAAATTGCAGTGGCAATCGCAGAAACTAGCTATGTGCAACACGACGTATGCGTGATTTGTTTGCTGATGAATGCTTGGCTTATTGACTTGTTTCGATGGCAATGATTGCCACTTGATTAGCGGACTCTTGACGAGCCATTGATGGGGGAAAATTCGGCGAGCTATTTTTGCGAAAATGCGTTTTTGAGTGACTGGGAAAAATATGAGTTTTCGACAGCTTAAAATGGAAGAAAATTCGTAAAACAAATGTAATTGAAGAGAAAGCGAGTATACCAATTGATTTATAAATCAAATTACATTGAATTCTCTATACAAATTAGACTGGGGATTTTAAATTTAAAAAAATTAGCTACCAAACATCAATTAAAATGTGATTGAAGCAGAGTAGTTAAAGAAGTTGAGAGAGAAAATTATATATTAATTATTTTCCATTCCGAAAATTGTAAGTGTTGCTTTAAAATTTGCCACAAGGCAAAAAATAGCTTTGCATTCTAAGAGCTCTTGAAATATTTTAAGTATTAAGGATTATTAATTATTATCTCTGCTAACGCCCCAAAATCTCACCCAAACTATCTTCAATTTAGTAATAAACCATTTTCTTAATAACAAATTGCCACATTTTTCTTTTCCACTTCACAGCCAAGTTGATTTTCAGTTTTGGCCTTTGTTATTCCACCTAACAAGCTTAGCAAACAAGTCCTGCAGTCATCAGCACTTCTCGGATTTCAAGTCCTCCGGGCATGCAAGCTTATGCCCATCGTGTTTGTTTGTGCACCCTGTACGGGTATATATTTCTTGTAGCTGAGTCGCCATTTAGAGGCTTGATTTATGCCAGCATCTCGAAATTTACTTTTAATGAGAGACAGCGGTAGCAGAAGCAACACTGGAGCTAAAGTTAAACGCATGTAACTGACAGCAGCGGCAGCTTGTATCTATATATCTTGCAGATGCGAAAACCCCGCCACTTGTTATTCAAATCAGCTTGAAGAGATTCAAGAGAGGAGAAAAAAACAGAGACATAAAATTTCACCGCTTTGACTGTAGATAGCTACTTCTCAGGCTCAAGTCTCTTGCTCGGATTCAATGGAAATTTGCATGGCTATGGCCGCAATTAATAAATAATTTTCATTTCATTTTCATTTCGAAATTTGATTTAATAACGTGAAAGTCGTCGAGTGTCTCACACCTACCACTTTGAGTGGGAAAGAACGGAAAATTAGTTGCCATTATTTAAGATTTTTACTTTTCTCAGTTTGTTTGTTATTTAATTTTATGCCTCAAGTGAAACCGAAATTTATTTCAAGTACTTTCGTTCAAGTTCTGCGCCCGAGGTTTGTTTTTATTGTTATTTATAAAGCGTGAAGTTTCAAGTAGTTTGTCTACTCACGGATGTATCTTTCTTTTCGGACCTTTTTCTTTCATTCGACACGACAAGCTACCGAAAATCTTACACTCGCACACATTTCACTCGAGTTTTGTGTTGTTTCGCTGTTAACTGTAGTTTCTCATGCAAATCCCGGCACAAAGCCGTTTGTTTGTTTGTTTACCATTATTTATTTGTTTGCCCAACGCTTTTTCCGCTTTGCACCGGGCAATTGATAATTATCATCATCATCGCCATCAGCATCATCATCCCGCACAGCATCCAACCCGGTAAAAGTCATTCGCATCGCAGTCAAGTGTGGAACCCCCAGCTGGGCCTTTTCCTCTTCCCAGATTTCTATGGGTTTTTGGTGTTTTCTGAGTAGCCCCAAGCTCTCGTATACTCT